TTATTATATAAACATTACATTATATTATGTTGTTATATTATTTTACATTATATCATATCATATCATATTATATTATATTGTATTATGTTATATTATATTATAATGTTTTATTATATTATATTATATCATATTATATTATATCATATTATATTATATTATATCATATTATATTATATTGTATTATGTTATATTATATTATATTATTATGTTATATTATATCATATTATATTATATTATATTAATACCCAGAAGTTTCATTCCAATCAAAAGGGATGAGACCCTTTTGATACTCAGCATGTACCAACTTCGAGGCCTTTGGTCAGTTGCGGGCTGCAGGGCTTGTCAAGGGTGGTATATTGGCTAAATATATTACCCATTTCCACCCCTTGTGGCTATCATTTACCTCCAATGAGCCCGAGCAACCCTGATAAAATGGGAACCTGGCAATGAATCAATTGGCTCAGCCTAGCAGCCAGCAAAATCGAGGACTCCAAAATCTCGTTGAGCTTCATCCGCTCTTCCATGCGAAGTTCCCGCTTGGGGAGCACCGGCGGCAAGTGGTCGAGAATCCTTCAGTGTCAAAAATTGGCTGGCAATCTAAGCTTCTTACTTCAACGGCTGAATTATGCAAAGTGGGTCAGATAGCCACAACATGTTTGTTTGCAAACAGACACGGCCTTGAAGGCAAAACATAACAACTGGTAACAACTCGACATCGCAAAAATCTCACACATCCCCATTTGGTCCTCATGATAGCCCCATAAATCCCTATATGTATAAATGTATATAATTACACCAAAGTTATACCATTCTTAAGTGTTATTAAGATTTATTCCCATATCTCCCAACCAAACAAACCTTGGGTCCCAACCCAACAAACCTTGGGGTTAGAAACCCATCTGAGCTATGGAAAATACCTCTATCCCATCCCATTATACTGACTGGTTAGTACATCTTCTCATTCTGGGTTGGCTCATAAACCCCAAGAAAAGTACAGTAGTATAACTTACATAACTCCCAACAAATTCACCAATGAACATCAATCAACCACCTTTTTTCAGTTGTATCATGTTATATCTCCATGTTTGATTCATCCCGTTCATCGCGTTGCGTTGCGTCCGCGCCACAAGTTCTCCGGGAGGTCTCCCCAGCGTGTGGCCACCAGACTCTTAGCGCCGAAGTCGGTGAAGAGCACCCGGACACCGTTGCCCTCGGGGAGCTTGTTGGAGTAGGCCAGGGTCTTGGCCACCTGATGTGAGGTACGGATCAGTGGTTTTCGCCATAACTGGGGGGATCAGATGGGTATAATGTCAACCCCGGATTTTCCTATGTTTATTGATTAGGGGGGGTATTCCCCAAAGAGTGATAATCTGATACGTAAATGGTACCCCCCCAAATAAACAGCCTAGGGGTTTATTAATCCAAGGTTGACATTAATATGGTGATCCATTTATAAAGGGAACTGCGCTCTCAAGTAGATGTCTGAGGGGTGGATAATGGGTAAAAATGTGGATTAGAAATGGGTTTTAACCAACAATGATGAGGATATAATGGTGATATATCGGAGATGTGTTTAATGATAGTGAGGACACAATGGGGATGTAATGATGATATAATGATACAATGGGCTATATAATCTACAATAGAACAAGGTAAATGGGGATTTAATGGGATCTAATGTGAACAAAATGGTATATACGGGCAACAATATCATGCTTGGGGACGCAGTTGGAGTTCATGTCATCTTCACGCTGAAAATTCATGGCGGTGGGTGGGTATAACTATGGGATTCGGACACCCCCGTGTTTGTTGGGATGTGGGGCCCTGATAACTATAACCATAACTGGTTGACTATGGTGTAACTATGGGTATGGATAGAGATGTAATGGTGACATAATGCGTATATAACTTAACTACAACACATGGATGCCATGGATGCCAAGCCATGTAGAAATGGTTGAGAAAAACCATGGTGTTGGCAGCAAATGGTAGGGAACAAATGGAAAAGCTCTGTTTTTTGGGGGGAATCTAAGCCAGTTAAAGATGTGCCCACCTCAAGGTGGTTCTTTTTAGTTCAGAGGGATTCCCAGAGCGTTCATTTTGTGACCTCTGTTGTTAAATCAATTAAATGGGTTTGGGACACAAATATGCAGTATACACAAGTTAACTTCAGAGAAAGTTGTTCCAAAACCATTTGTTTTTTTTTATTCTGGGAGCTGGTTGAAATGTTCCCTTAAATTAAACTGTAAACCAAAGATAGAAAGGCGGGTCAAGTTGTTGATTGTGCCAAGAAAAACACACACCTGGGCTGGGCTGGTGAGGTTTTGATATAAAATGGTTATACAGGATGGGGCCCCCAAGATAGCTAAGCTGCCTTGTGAGTGGCTTAACTATTGTTTATGGTAGATATATATATATATGTAAAATATATATATATGTATATATATATATGTAATATATAGATATAGATATATATATATATATGTGTATATGTATACATAGATATACAGTAACTATCGTTAATGGGATTTATAAGCCAACTTACAATTGAGGGGCACCATCCTGTAGGTTCCCATGTTTTTTGACCTGTACCAAGGGTGGTGCTGGAAAAATTGGTGACAGGCTCACCTGGCCTGCTCTCCAAACTGCAGCACGCCGCCCAGCTCACCTGTGCAAAGTCTGATGCTTGGGCCATCTGTCCTCTGATAATCAAACATTTCAATGCCAAATGCCCTACAAATGGAGGCTTTATTTGGAAAATCCGTCTATAAATCTGGAATTTGGTCCCTTGCCACCTTTGATTATCGGAGGGTACTGGATGAACTGATGAACTGACTGGAACAACTGGAGGGATGGGCCTTCAAGTCACTTCCCTTTCTCAGTGGCTGGGTCCTTCTGCCGAGTCCATAACAGATGTCCTCTATGTATCAACATCACACCCTTTGCAGAGCCGACAAGGACCACATGTTTTTTCACCAGAAATTTCAAGTAATATTTTAACTAACCCAAAAAATCGAACACGTCTCTTGGCGGAACATGACCCACATGGGGTCGCAAAAAAACATGAACCCCATTCTGTGTCATGACCGCGGCGCGCCTGTGACTTGGGCGTCTTCTGCCCCGGTGTTGAAATACATCGACTGCCTGTTCTGTCCTTCCTGAGGGGACACGGACAGATCGGTCGCCACAGTCGCTAGAGACTTTCAACTGATGTCTGCCAGAAGATCAACCTCAACTCACCAGGACTCACCACCCTGCTCGGTCCTTGCAACCCCAAACATCTTCAAATTAGATAACAATGCCAATTCTCCCAAAATAGCATTAATCAATTAATTGGCATTACCCTCTGGTAATTTAACATAGCTATTGAAAATGGCCATTAATAGTGGATTTTCCCATTAAAAATGGTGATTTTCCATAGCTATGTTAGTTTACCAGAGGGTAAGGCATTGATCATCATCCCATTCTCAACATTTCTCACCCCAAAACCAACGACGAAGAGTTCCGCACCTCGGCGGCCCGGAGTGCGGCGGAACAGGCCCAGGTCACCGCCTGGTCAAAGCTCTGCGGCACCGGGGTGGAGGCCTCGATAGTGGCCTCCGGCGGCTTGGTGCTGATGAAAAAATGGTGCTTTTGCCAACATGGACACATGTTTTTCAGAAAAATGGCGATTGATTGCTAATTGATGTTAGCTAAGTTGGTTTATAATTCCAATAGCGTTGGGGTTGGGATTCTGTCGAACTAGTTCATGGGGAGTCCGAACCGATTTTTTTACATGGGGAGTACCACCCGGTATGGGGAGATAATATAGATATATAGATAGCCTCCACTGAATTAACAGTTCGATCCTGAAAATTGTCAGTGTTTAGTGGAAACCAATCTTCCAGGCCCCTGTTTGGCAGGTTTTATGTCAATTTACTGGAGGGTATACAATATATTATAATATATATATATAATTATATATATATATATATTATATCCATTTAGATATTATTTATCCCCATCACCTGTAAACCAAGAGTTCTTACAGGAGAGCAGCAGAAATGGGGATATCAGCAAGAAATGATATACTGTAAGCATGTATAAGCGATCTATGGGGATCCAAATGGGATTTAACCAACAATAGTGGGATATATCATGAGATACATCAAATCATCTGGATGATATATGGGATAGGGGTATGGTCATTCATCCCTTGCCATGGAAATCCTAGATTTGTGGCCACAAAAAAACGAACTTAATGATGGATGACCATTCCCCAATATAAGTGTGATAAACCATCTTTCGACCATGGCACATATGCGGAGATCATCTGCAAATGGGGATATTCTGCTTATATATACGATGGAGATATTTTTCAATGATCATGAGGATTTGATGAAGATAGAATGGGATGTACAATCTACAATAGAACAAGGTATATGGGGATATAACCTACAAAAAATGCGAATTAATGGTAACATAATGGGATATATATATATAACCAATAAACATATACAATACTATACAATAATGAGGATAATATGATATAACGGTAACACAATGATACATAATGGAGATATACTGGGATATATATAATCAACCTACGATAAAACAAGGTAAATGGATGTAGATGGGATTTAAGCAAGAAAGATGCTGGTATAATGGCATCTAACGTGAATAATGTGAATATATAATATCATCTACAATATCATGGGTATTGAAGCAACAAAAATGGTGAATAAATGGGATTTGTATATAATGGAGATAGAATGGGGCTATATACACTAACCAGCAATACGATATCTGGGTGTGTCTGAAAATCGATGAAAGTTGGGGATACCCCGGATACCCCCCCCCATTTTACGGCTAGTTTAAGAGTGAAAATGGCAAACCAACAAATTCTGCTGAGATCAAAGTATTTGTAGCATGGGGAGATCCTGGTCTACGGTTCCAAAACAAATAATATTTGTGTATGTTCATGGGAACATGGCGGAGAACATTATGGCAATATGGAAATGATGGTAAATGGGAACGTTGAAACAGCAAAAGAATGAAAACTGCCTCCCTTGGCCAATCACAAAGTCCCATGGAAATCAAGCTCTGTCATCAATAATATTCGAGATAATTTGATGTGTTCCCATGATTGTAATACAATCAAGTCCCCCAATAAACCACGTAGTAATAATATTTTAGCATAACTCAACAATGATTTTTGGTCACTGCTCAATTGACCACCCCATGGCGGCACATCCAGGCCACGGATTGCCCTGCCTGGACCATTTCTTCTCGCATGCCCATGGCCAGCCTCTTTTCTTCGGTCATGCCTGCCCGGGCAACTCATCAAATGCAGACGAAAAGGATCCTCAAATTAGATAGGAAAGCCCACAAAATGTTGGTAGACTTAGAAAAAAAAACACGGATTTGTTTGATCATCACTTTGATAATGGCTTGCTTCTCCATTTGGGACTTGTACAGGGTGCCAGGGATTTTCTGCATCTTTATTAGAAGGAAATCATGTATTTTTGGTGAACTTTTTCGGTTATTTTTTGGGGAACTCCCCAGGGTGACTAGTTGGGGAATCTTCTGGGGAACTTCCCAAGGGGCAGGGAGCTTCCCCATCCCAGGATATCCCAGGGTTCACATTCTTTTTGGTTGGGAAATGTTAGGTGATCTGTCCGTGCATCCTATACACTGTGGTAAAACCAACAGATAAACCATGATAAACCATTCCCATTTTACCAGGAATGGGTACGAGTAATATACACCATCCCCAATTGGAGGTCTATGGCATTGGGTTTACGGTGTAACCGGATAAAGAACAAAAAAAACTTCAATTGGTGGTTTCCTGAAACGGGACTAAAATCATCCCGAAATTCCAATTTCTGAGGCGGAAACTGTCCGACCCCCGCATCGGCACCGGCTCCCAGGCTCTGTAGCTGCTTCTGCACCGGGTTGGCGCGTCTCCGTACCGCCGCAGCAGCCAGGCTGGCCACAGCCACAGCGGCTGAGAGGTGGGAGGCCTTCTTTGGGGCCTTGGGTAAAGCTGGCACTACATGGATGGAATCAGCTTGACACTCTGCTGAATTTGGGGAAACCACCGCCCTTGGGTTGCCCCACCACCATCGACGATGAGCCCCTCCCACTCTGGTGTCGCAATGCCGATGCATGGCTCCTGGTGTGCTGCACCAGATGATCATCTATGGAGGTTTCCTAAAATGGTGGTAACCCCAAATGATCCATTTTAATAGGATGTTCTATTATAAACCATCTATTTTTAATTACCCCCATTTTAGGAAACCTCCACATGAAGCATTGTATTTTGACTCATCCCCATCTACTTTTTTCTGTGGGGATCAACGGCCCAGCCACTGCCATTGCCCCAACTTCCTCCAGCTCTCCCCGAGAGTGCTGGGTGCCACCACCCCCTCCATGGCACGGCTGGGTGGCTTGATCTGATAACTTTCGGTGATCAAAAAAACCTCAAAAATCCTGCCTCTCAAATGCTACATGTCACTCAAGCCCACTTCCAAACGGAGCAAATTCCTTAAGTCAAGGTCCTAAGGTCCTGAAGAAAAAATCTCAAACTGTACATGACTTTCCTGGAGCACTTAAAGCTCTCGAAGGACAAAATGGCGGTTTGTTGCTGAATCACCATTTTGGAGATCATCCTGTTGCCTCATGAGCCAAAATTCTGCGAGGTACCCCAGGAGACAACCTGTGACATGATGTGGGTATGGGCCAAAGTTGGGTAATTGGCCCCAAAAGAAAACAAAAAGAGCTGGTCAACTAGTCAAAATAACCTATCTATCTGTCCTCTTGGAGCTTCATTTTTCAGCTACAACCATGCCCATGCGATTATTTGGCAACTTGGCATCGTCTGTAGTTTGTGGCTCCAAACAAAATTCCATTCTTCAAATCTCCACTTTTCTATATAGACCTAATCTTCCCATATCTCCTCTTCCTCAAGTCGGCCCCCGCGGGTCCCCGCACCCACGGTCATCATGCCACGTTGGTAGAGCACTGCAAAGGTCATCGATTGGAAGAGTAAGGCAATCCCCCAGGACCTTGGTATACCATTCATGATGGGATTTATGTATTGATATGTAATATATGTGATATATATATATATATATATTATATATATATAACTTATGTAACTATCAACTGGGATCTTGATAGAATGGAATATTTAACTATTAACTAATATATCAATATAATCCCATCCCCCCGATCATATTAAACCCCACCTTCGAAAACCCTGGTGGATGTAGGGGATGAAACCACATACTTGGGGGTGTTTAATGACGGGGGGATGGGATTGCTCTGAGATGACCCAACCCATTGGGGTCAATTGCGGTTTGCTGGGGCCTCTGTCATTATGTGTCTATTGCTTTTTGAGGATCAGTATAAATTAAAGCCCATTAGGTTGTGTCAAAATAATTGGGGATTTATGCCCCAAGTTATGGCAATGTTCATTTGACTAGAAAAAAGGATGATGCATTGGCATTGGATTTTGCCGTCATATTTTTGGACAAACCTAACTTCTGCCACGATGATCCAACAGTCAGACCGCCCCGCGAGAGTTTCCAACACTTGAAGCATCCACGCTCGAGCGTGGAATGTCGCCAACAGCGCAGCACATCTGCTGAGGAACACCAAAAAAAGGAAGACATCGACGCACATCTCGGATTTCATCTTCCTGAAGCGAGAAAGGGGGGCAACTGCCTGGACCTAAAAGTGGCCAGCCATTCAGTTCGATGATTTTCCCAGCTATAAAGCCCCTTGATATATGGGAGTGTCAATTGCCATGTTTGATTGCCAAGGGGTAAGCCATCCGTTTTTGGGATCATCTTGACCCCATCCCCAAGTCGCAAAATCCTCATGTTTGCAATGTCAGCGATGGAAACCTCACCAGCTTTTGACCCATGCTCCCAACATCTCCAAATCAAAGGTTCTGAGGTGGAAATCCCTCAACGAGGATGGCCGTGACGAAGCCGAAAAGCAGAGTGGACCTGGGCACCGTTTTCGCAGGAAGCAGATGCTATGATCCAAAATTGGAGGTATAACAAGGATATCGCCAACCATAAATCATGGCATATGACTGATACCACTGGAATTATGGGATTTAATGGGATACTAGTGATATTGCCATATCAACCGCTGCAATTTGACAGTTTGTTCTGGAACATCACCATGTTTGATAGGCAACTGTCCAGAATGGGCTATTTCCATAGCTATGTTAATTTCCAGAGGGTAATGATATTTAATGGGTATATATAATAGTGGGAATAACAGTGGAATATAAAAATCAGATACCAGCAAACAACCATATTTTGGGTTTGTCTGAAAACAGGATACCAAATTCCCATGGTTTAGCAGTTTATCAGTTTATCATTGCTTCTCCGCAAAATTGCCAGTCGGGGGTAATGCTTATAATGCAGAAAATGATTAACCAAGAAAACATGATTCTGCCGAAAATCAGGGTTTTTCCTCACCTTTGAACATGGGTTTCGAGGAAATTGTCAGATCACTTCGTGTCATTTGACGTTGGGGCCCTGGGGCTCTGACTTCAGGGTCAGGTTCTGCGAGCTGTCCAAACGCTCCTTGGCTGGAAGGGATCCACCCAGGTTTCCGCTCCGAAACCTCCACAGTCTGCACCAAGAAGCATCGAGCAAGTCACGCACGTCCTCCCTGAAAGACTCCAGTCTGCTGTGCCTGCGACAGGCGGCCCGATAATGGGGCAGGTGGCAATAGCCTGATGTACTGCTCCCTGCAAACCAAACTGTAGATACCCCATGATACCCACGCAATGGTAGCGATGAGTGATTCAAAAACGTTACTGATGATTCACCAAGCATCTGTGGGGTCCTATTTGTACCGGGCAGATTTCCCCTGCACATCTGCATGGCCCCTAGTGGTTACACCATCCTTCGCTGCCTCATCTGCATCACGTGCTGCGTCTTGGCAACGTGCTCTGAACTCACCATTGGGCCAACCTGGCCAGAGACGCCGTGAACAATTGCAAAAAAACGTGAATTAATCAGCAAACAAATTCATGTCTTTCTCATGAGAATTGGAATGCAACCAGCGAAAATTCTGATTTATGCTGCGAAATCACCAACCTAGTGGACCTGCGCGACTGTTCAATTGTGTACTTGGGGATTAAAAAACCCAACTGGAAACCAACAATTGCCTGCGACCCAACCAAACATCTCTCAACTAAAGACCGTTGCAAACACCAAGGATCTCAAGAATCGCTGGGTTGATCCAAGGGAAAAAGTGCAGGAAACCAGGCACTGGTCAGCCAAAAATGTGGGGTTCCTTTGGGTTTTCCCCTTGGACTCTAGTACGAGTAGGTTCCTATAGTTCAAACAATGCCAGGGCCGGCTGCCAGCACCACATCTAGTGCCACCTGGGGCTGGAAAAATCACAGCTGGTTAGTGGTTGGGCCGCCTATGAAGATTTGATGTCATATTAGATTCTATTATATCATATCATATTATATCATATCATATCATGTCATATGATGTTATGTTATGTTATGTTAGGTTATGTTATGTTATGTTATGTTATATCGTATTGTATTATATTATATTATATGTTATCTTATTTCATGTCAGTTTTTTATATTATATTATATTATATTATATTATGTTATATTATATTATATTATATTATATATTTATATGTATATGCATATATCATATATATATATACCTGAAATATGATATACATAATATATATATATATATTATTATAGTATTATATATAGTACTTTATATATAATATAATATAATATAATATAATATAATATATATAATATAAAACATATAAAATACAATATACATAATATGTTCTATACAATATAATATACAATTTAATATATATAATATGTAATATATACAATCTATATACAATAAAAAATATAATATAATGTATATTTAATATAATATATAATATATAATATTAAATATAATATATAATATACAATATACAATATATATATATATTATATTATATATCACAAAGGTAATATATAATATATAATACTTAATATATAATATATAATATATAATATAAAATATATAATATATAATACTTAATATTTAATATAAAATATATAATATATAATATATAATATATAATATCAAATATAATATATATGTATATAATAAATAATATATAATATATTTTATATAATGTATAATATATAATATATAATATATGATATATAATATATAATATATAATATATAAAAATATATAATATATAATATATAATATATAATATAATATATAATATATAATATATATAATATATTATATATAATATATGACATGATATTATATGTAATATATAATATATTATAATATGAAATAACAATACAATATAATATAATATAACAATATAATATAATGTAATATAATACAATATATATATATATGTATTATCATAGATAGTTATAATATTATATATATACTCAATGTATATCATATATATATATAATATCATAAATAACATATATATTATGTATATATCACATATCATGTTTTATCATGTATATATATATGATACGATATGATATGTGACACAAATATGGTATATGATATATGATATATTATATATGTATGTATCATATATGATAGTATGTATCATATATACATTATATATATATATATATCATGTATATATATATCATATATATATATATTATATCATATCTATTTCATATATATATATATTATATCTCATATATATATATATCTATATCATATGTATATCATATATATATATCATATGTGTATATTACATATATATATATATCATATGTATATCATATATATATACATACATCATATGTATATCGTTTATATAGATATATCATATATATTATATGCCAGCCAACAGAACCCCTAAAAAATGAAAGTCACCAGGGAGGAAAAGCAATCAAGTTGGGAAGCAGAAAAGAGTTGACACTACTCTCAAAAAAAATGATGATACCTGTTGATGCCTCCGATTTGTTGGTTGAAATCCATCTTTCCCATTGGTCTTGTCCCCATGGCTGGTCATATTGGAAACCACCCGGAATGGCTTCCTGGGAGGAACTTGGCCCCTCACCAACTTTGAAAAGCACTTGGAGACATCGGCAAAATCAGAGCTTGGGTATGGGTAAAAATCTAAACCCCCGATTTTAAATGTCCTAATTTTTCGCTTCACCCAACAAAAAAGGGATATGACTAGTATCCAACAAAAACTTGTTCAGGTGATGTTCAAAATGTCCAAAACAGGTTACATCTAAAATTTACCAACCCATGTTTTAGATGGTGAAATGGTGAACCTCAAGAGAAACATAATTTCTCAAAGCCACACGGCCCAAATCTGCCAGCGCCGCCGCCATTGTCAGGGATCATGTGAAACGGGCGCCGGCAGATTTCAAAAGTTCGAAACTTGTTGTTCTCCTCATGAGTTGGGTTTGGCTCATGAAGAATTTTCCATGACCCCCAAACGTCTACAATTTCAGGTGCCAATAATTCAGCAATATTAGGCTGAAAGCTTCACTGTGACAGAAATTCTGGCTGTGTAGTTGAGAAGTTCCTATGGACTCCACAGGCTCCAAAGCATTCAATCTTTCATCACACTTCTACATGTTCTGGCCACTCATTGTGAACGACGTAATGCCTGATGCTTTCTGTTTGGACTCTGTAACTCAGATCTCACTGTCCCTTCTTCAAATCTCAGCCGAAAATGGCCACAAGAGATCTGTCCACTTTGGTCACAATACACGTAGTAAATACCAGTTTTTTTGACCATTTTTAGAGCAAAAATCACTCCCCCATGAGGGGCCGTTCTGTAATAAATCCCATGAAATCCCCATACATTGATGTTTAATTAACCATATTGGGGGTTTCTTAAAATGGTGTATCCCAAAGATCATGGCTTTCAATACTAAAATGGTCATCCATGACTTGGATGATTTGGGGGTACCCCCATGACTTTGCAAACCTCCATGTATTGGTGGGTTAATGGGAACCCCAATATCACAACTTCACCTCTGCAGCCAGCTCGGCTTCTTGAGGAGAAGGTGGCACAACTTCACCTTTGAAAAATTGTCAATCTTAGAGAGCTGGTTCGCGAAGATTCGCTGGAAAAATGTACATCTTAGATATCTGGTAAATTTAATCTAAATCTAATGTCTAGTTGGCAAATGTACATTTTACCATTGATAGCGATTCACCACGAAACCAGTGACAGGCAGGTGTGGCAACCAAATCATAGGGATCAATCATGGGATTTTTGTTGATTCTATATATATATATACATACACAGTAATGGGATATACATAATGTAATGGAATATGTAATGATCTGCAATGGTATATAGTATATAGACAGATGTTGGAATACAGTATATCATGGGATATAGATATAGAATGGGATGTTTGAAATCAACGAAATGATTTTCCTGGGGTGGGCTATGTGTTCATCCATTCCTTGCCATGGGAATCTCTACCATTTTCGTTGCTAGATTTAAGAGGGAGGCAAGAGTCGATGGTTAGTGGTTGGGACAAGTGTCACAAGAATCCAAAAAAAAAATGAAAGTGAATTTTGTCACATTCTCCTATCAATCCTTCGGCATAGACAATAATAAAATGCCTCATCCCCAGAATTTGTTCCGGCTTGCAATGGGCATGGCTCAAGATTATCTACCCCTAAGATTAGATGATTTCTACTTCCTGCTGGTCCTTGAGGACCCTTTCTTCAGCATCTGTGGTTTCTGCCTGAAATCGATCCAGAATGTGGATGCAAAGATTGATGCCATCCAACAATCAGCCAACTCAGAAGCACCTTCTTGACCATTGAGCTCCACTGCACCTTGCATAGAGTTCCGTCAGCTATATGTCCACAGCCCTGCAAGACAACAATCTGAGACTCATCCCTTCAAAAGTTGATGCTCACAATATACTCACAACCCAAAAATCATCCAAAAATTCTTCGATCTTCAATCAGATCTTGCAGCAACTTTACTAAGTCGCCCAACCTCCGTCCCCGCCTGTGAGACCTTTGATGGTCACTTTGCTTCCGGCGGGGAAGCGCTTCACCACCGGCGGCTCCTCCGGCGCCGCGGGCGCGGGCGCCGCTGCCGGGGGATCCACGGCCACGGTGTCCACCACGGGCTCAGCAGTCACCTTGGATGTTTCTGGGAAGTCGAGGCACGGGGTGGTACTCCCCCAGTGATCAATTCTGTTATAACATGTTGCGAACATGTTATAAACCCCCATTCACTATAGATATCTATAGAATTCCAAAGATACAACCTTCATAAACCATAGTTTTTGGGAGGTTTTGTGGAAGTGGTGTCTTTTTTTTTTGTTGGAGGAAAGGAAAGTGAATAGTTTTGACCCGGAATTCTTATCGCTCTGCTGGAATGATGAACCAAAACTGGAATTCAAATGATGACTTCACTGATGGCACCGCCAAGCTGAATCAGGTAGATGGTGTACGGCAGGGCTGAAGCTAAGCGGTGGTCCACTGGCTTGTGATCCGCTCCAAAGATCTTCTGGTAGTCCTTTCTTAGGTCAGTACTGTATGCCTGCGGGAGGGGCATCACAAGTCCCGCTGTCCCAGGCGGTTTGATGGCTAAAATGCTGGGTTTTCAACAAGATTTACCTGCTGCTCTGCGACTACCCTAATGGGCTCTATATGATGCTCTATGTAAAACCTAGGCGGCCTAGTGATCCCCAACCATCCCAAGGAAATCATGATCCCACCCCCATGTGGTGGGGCTACTACGTACCATCCCATGGTCCAGCTTTGGCGACTCTTTTTCCGGCATCTTGCCCTGGATCAATGGGTGTCTCTGGTGGTTCTTGTCCAGAGGCGTAGAAACGTGGAATTGGACAACAAATGTCAATCTCACCACAAGGAGTTCTTTACACATTTTTAGAAAAGTGACTTTGGCGATTCTTTCAATTTGGCATCCACCAGCCTCTACAGAACCTGTAGATTTTTCTAGCGCCGGCTCTTTGAAGCCTCTGCTGGGAACCGCTGCTTGAAGAGTGAGACGTCGCATTGGAGCCAATGGCTGGAACAAACGCAGCTCGGAACCTTTGCAAGCAAAGGATACTCGGACTTGCCCTCCAGCAAACTCACAAAGGTAGATTCGGGACATTGGTGTAGGCTAACTGGGGTTGACAATGGATAATACCTATGTTTAGCAAGTTTAGCTGTGCTTCTTAACCAACTTAGAACTTGGGATTCCTTCCTGTGCTCTTGACCAAAACAGGAGTGGTCCATGGCCAGGGATGTTTTCTGGAGGGTACACAACACAAACTTCAAACAACACCTGAAAGCCCCGCTCTTGCGATAAATACGTATAAAGACGTTCTTCTTTTCTCACTGATTCCCCGCCAAGGTGTTTGCAAGAGCATGTCTACTATCCCATGCTTCGTGGAAAAGCGCACACTTCAAGCACGACAAAGATGCGATTCACTTCCACTGGCAGCTTGAGTTGCATCAGTTGTATTTGGGCCTCCAGGATTCCAAGAACATCATTCGCCAATGGAAAAGTGGACCTGAACCCAGAGATAGAGAGCTCATCTTTGGCCCTCACGCACCAGGACTTTGCAAGGACTCACCCTCCGACAAAACCAACACGGCCAGTGGGGAAACATCTTCGGGATTTTCCAGCTCAAAAGATTGCCGGAGGGCACCCTATGGCAATCAAAGCTGGCAATGGAAAATCACCCACTTTCACTAGATGAAGTTACTGTTCAACAGGGTCAGTTTTCCAGTAGCGACTTCAGTAGCCTTCGGTCATGGCCATGTTTTTGGGAAAATGAGCAATCCATAGCAATCCATTGGCCATTGGGGAAAACTCCCCCTGTTCAGACTATCCCGCATCAATCTCACCTGGTTCAGGTTCCAGAGATTCAATCAATGATTCCAAGTCCGGATTCACTCGCAAGACACGTCCTGGCGTGCCACCTCAGAACTCTCAAAAAGGGGCCCTTGCGAGCGAACTCAAGTACATCAGGAAAATCTCGTTGGATCTTGGGTGGAACGACCCTCTGGTAGTTTAACAGCCTATTGACTATTGAAAATGTCCCATTTATAGATTTGCCAATCAAAACGATGGTGATGTTCCAGTTCGCAAACAATGTTCATCAACTTTCAGAGGCTACCAGGATGTTTTTTGTTCAGACAGTTTTTTTCCAGGGTTTGGGCAAAGAGATCTTTGCCGTTTCGGGCGCCATTCGTTCCCAATCGGCTTGGATCGGCAATTGAAATCCCTATCGATCCCGAGTGGCAAATCCACGTTTCCGGCTCAAAGTGTGAAACCTGACCATTTTTTCCAACTTTGTCCATCTTCAGCCCGCAAAGTTTGCCCGCAAAGCCGATTGGATCTTCATCATTCCTGTTATCCTTAAAAACATTTAAAAACCATGTCAACCCTGGATTAGTAAACCGTTTACTTATGGATTTTAGGGGGTCCCCGGGGAACCCCGGGGGCCCCGGGGAACACCGGGGGGCCCTGGGGTCCTCTTGGACCCGGCTGGGCCCCGGGCTCTTGGGCATGGCACGCGCCAGGGAACACATCTCCTCTTTGTCGCTGGAGTCCACCTCCACCACCTGCAGAGGAGAAGTCCAGCTCAAATGGAAGTGTTGGATACCTATAGTCCATACATATACATATATACATATACATATATATATTATTGTATATTATTCTATATATATACATAATTATATATATATGTGTATGTACATTATGTACATAATCAAATGGGATCATTCTGTCAATTTTTCGGGCTGCTGTTTTCTGAGGGGAATCCCCATTTCGCAGCCTCGTAGCCAATCTCAAAAGGCCTCTGAGAAGAGATGCCTCGGTTGGATCCCATGTGACCCATGGTTGACCCCAGACCGGCCATGGCAAATCCCGGGGCATTCACTGGAACCTCGCCATAGATCAGTCCTTAGACATCGTCCAATCGTCCAAGGATTCGATGATTCGAAGAGGAAAGTGGATTTGATGAGACCCCAAAAAATGGAAAAATCTCACCGTACGATTCAATAGGTTTTAACATGTTTTAACGACACTTTGGAAGATGGCTTGAAGCCCCCAAGGTTGCGTCCCTATCATCTGATTTCCAATCTTCTCCTGAAGTATCGAAAAAGTTCATCAATTGACAGCTTGTCGCTTTGACCACCCCTACGCTTCGGAATGTTGGAGGGTCACTCCAAGATAAGAGTCATTCCTAACATTACTAGCCTGTCGTTCTTTTCAGGGGCGATCCTAGTTCCTTCGTCTGCAATTTCAATGGGATTTTAATCATCCCAAGTTCCGATTCTGGCTTCACCCTCAAAAGAAACGTCCAGGATTTTGCGAGCATCAATGATGACGTTCCACACTTCACCCAGAAAACTTAGAACGTGGTCACCTTAGCAGCCTTCCAGTGCCATGGACATTCTAAGTTGCGCGATGAGACCAAAAATCGATCACTGGCAGGTCCATGAGCCAGATACGGATAGTACATCTACTGCGCAAGTACAGGGGCTCGGCTCCAATCCCAACTATACTCTTAGCGTCTAAACAATTCTAAACATATATATATACACAGTATATATATATATGTACGTATGTATGTATATGTATGTATATGTATGTATATATATATATTACATATGTACATCATACAAATATGTATAGAAAGCCCAAAAAAGATGGAAAAGTGGAATCCTTAAAAAATCGAGTGATCAATTACTGTTCTATCTTTTTGGGGGGGTTCCAAAAAATCTATTTCTTTCCACAGGTGAGCCGTGTTCGAAACCCCGGTGAGTTGATGATTGTTATCATGGATCATCACCATCAACGGGGAATCCAGAACTAACAACGAGTTTTTTGGAGGAATGAGACAGAGTTGTGAACATGATGTTCCCCCATTTATTGATCAAGCATGATCAAGCCGTTTCCCATTAGAACCTGCATAGAAAGATACATTTACTTCGGCGATGTTCCAGCTGGATCAGCGAAAATTGTTTGATGAAACCAGGGGTTATCTCCACATGATCATCCTGACTGGTGGTTGACCCACCCTACCCCTCTGAAAAATGATGGAGTGAAAGTCAGTTGCGGTGATTATTCCCAATATATCCAATATATTATAATATATTATGGAAAGTCATAAAATTCCATGGTTCCAAACCACCAACCAGCTGACAGTTGTTCCCAACACCCCACTTCTACCAGGGGTTTTTCACACACGCCCAGCGTCGTGAGCGTTCCCCAGGTGGAAGTCTTCACGGCCCGGCCCACCTGCCCCGAAACCTCGTTGAAATCAGGGGTCACAAGTTTTCCCCAGGAAAAATGGGCAAAAAGTGGGGAGATCACTGAGATCACCATGGAAAATCTGGGAATGGCACCAAACATTGCAAAAATGGGAGAAAAAATCGTGAGAAAAAAACATAGCTGGTAAGTCATGGCTTGTCTAGTTTCCCATTCAAGTGGAAAAGCGATGTGTCCTACTCACCTCCCTTCAAAAGGTTGACCCAACCTCACGCGTCCCTCCCAGTGCCAAGGGGTAAAACGGCCATAGATTGATGAACCTGTTCTTTTGAGGCCTCCTAAAAATGCAGGGACATTCCAAATCTAGACCACTTGGGGCGATGAAAATCTTAGCAACAAATGAATATAGTCTAGTAATATAGAAGGTTGTTTCTAAACTCAGTGCTTTTTACTTTTGCTTCACACATTCTGATCATCATGATCATCCTCGCATCAAGATCACGGGGCTGGCGATTCAAGTCCTTTTTCGGCCGCTTAGAGAAAGCATCCTCTGTGGTCCCTTGATCCACAGGGCAAAAATGGGACAACTCGATCTCGAGAGGCTCGAGAGGGCCCTGGGTGATCTTTGAATCCTCCAATGTTTCCACAGCCGCTGGAAGATCGGCTTGGGTTCCTATCCCGAAAAACGAAAGTCCAGGATCATCGAATCATCCCATTTTCGGTCATGCAACCCCCAAAAAGTGTTTTTTTAAAGTGGAAACCCACTAAGTTCATCCAAGTTCTAGTGATAAACTACAGTTCTATCTGTTTGATTCTGGGGTTTATCCAATGTTTTTACCACATCCCAGAGATCACCCCTAGCCCCAAGCCATCCAAGCCAGCAGCCCCATGGCCGCAGCCACCGGCACGGACCCGCGCGCTGAGGACCTTGTAGGCCCAGCGCGCTCCATGGACCATTCGCTGGTCGAGGAGTAGCTGGACCCTCCACTCTTGGAGCAATCCACGTCCAAAAGCACCTGCCGCCAAGGGACGCTGGCCGAGCGGAGCTGTGGATCTGCCATGATTTTCTGAAACAAATGGATCAAAATTTGGGACTGAGATATGTGCAAAATTGAGCAAATGTAGTCCAATGTCAACCCATCCTTGGATATCTATATATATATATATGTATATATATATTATATATATATATTATATATATATATTATATATATATATATTATTATTGGATCATCATTGGTAGTTACACCGTCTATCAACCGACCAAACCAGGTACAGAGTATTCAAACCAAGGCTTCACCATCAAACCAGAGGTTCCATATAGCCTCTAGGTTGCAGCACCCTTTCCCATCAACCAGCAATCGCAACTATCGCACCTCGGCCGGCTGCTGACCGGCAATGGTGGCACCCAGAGACTCCACAGCCTTCTGTTGCATCATGGCAGCGACCAAATGAAGGTCATGCTCCTGGACAGGGGGGAATCAGATCACATCACTTTTGAAGCCAAGGCACACTGAGGATCTCAGAGCTACTGGTAATATCTGGGAAATTCTAGGAAGAGTATGTCAAGGTGAAGAGTCCGATTGAGGCAAATGGATTTCCACATGGATGCATGTGCATGTTGACTTTGGCAATGGCTTACTCATTGATTGGGGACGGTTCCCGCACTGCATTAATTATTGATTAAACCCCACTGAAACCGTTGTTTAGTGAAGATATCTTTGATTTAGTTGGCCAATCTCCCCATGTTTACAGCCTCAGATCCCGAACTCTGGTTTTTTGCTAGTCTAAAATCCCCATCAACCGAATCATCTGGGCATTTCCCATCGCCTGAATGCAGCTGCGTGGTAGGCAGCTCTCTCCCACCACATCGCTCTTGGAGAGCAAGCGCCGCCCCTCAATGTCACTCTGGGCGCGCTGCTGCACGCGCGCGTGGGTGGCGCAAAGGGCCCCATCCAGGGCAGCACAGCTCTTCTTGGAGGTGTTGTGGTCCTTTGGGATGCGGGGTGGCTATGATCACCATCTCTTAGTAAATTATCGAAGCAAATGGGCCTGGGGCATGGCTTCCATATAGCTGTTTTAGATTAGCAGAGGATGACCAGTGAAAAGAAACTGTGGTGGAATCAGGATCCGTTCATTATTGCGGGCCACAGGAGGGTTCAGCTGGGGGAGCTTGGACTGCCGTTTTACACTTTGACCAAATCAAGTATGGATTGATTACGGTTGGTTTACGGGGGAAGTCTGAGAGAAAAGCATTGCTTTTCACAATTGAGAGTGGGTATCCTGCAAATGTCTCTCTCTTAGACCTCTGCTGCGGTGATGGATTGGAGAATCAAGCACAAGTCATTTCTATCTGCCACATCGGCCCACTTTGTTGACTTCATTCGGAGAAGTGATTTACCGGTAAGCTACGAATATTGGATGGCAAAAGTATCGTTTCCTGCCACTGCTCCTTTGACCAACCTAGTGATCCGATGGCGCGCCCACTTTGAACACAGCAGCGCTTTCTCCTTTACCATATGGATCCATAGCCAGAATTTTTGACGCAAAAAAATCCCATGATTCTGATGGTGAAATATGGTGAGCCATCCCCTATGTTTCTTGGTGAAATGCCCATGATTTTCATGGCCCTGTTCGCCACTCCTTGGTCCCGAAGCGATGGAGCTCTTGGACTTTTCCGTCGCCCTGAAAAAATCGCTTCTTCACCAGCAACAAATGGAGGTTCTGTGGAGGTTCAAACCATATCACACAAGGGTTTTTAGTGTATTTTTTCTCGTTTAAACCAACAAAAAATATGGGCTTCCTCACCAAAATGTGATTGGACAAGCAATGAATTAACAAGATTCGAATTTCAGAAGCCAACCACAATTCGCATGCAACCAAGAAGTACCACAAAAATGAGTATGAGTCAAGAGTTTACCCATTGGAATCCACCCCGGAGCTTTCCAGCTTCGACCCATGCTGGAATGTGGTTCGGTTTTTTGCCACAGCTCCCACATGTGCTTACGCCCTTCGCCCAAACCAGTCCTTTCTGACCTTGATCCACATTAGTTTTTCTGAAATCCCCCACTTTTTGCTGCATCTAGTACCCATTTTTGTCACAAACATGTCTGGCAAAACAGTAAAACCTCCTCCTTCAGTAAAACCTCACTGGGCAGTCGGGAAAATCGAGGCAACGCGGATCGAGGCTTCACTGGTGCGAAGTCTGAAAAACGTGGTTAACCCCATTCGATCCAGTGGTTAATCACCATTTCTCCTGTTAAAATCTATTAAATATTCATGAACTGGTTGTAACTTTCCCCATTTCTAGACAAATTCAAAGCCATGTCGTCTTTGGTGAATATCCCCAAGGATCATACCCATCAAAATGTTGGTAAACGGGTTTCATCTCCCATGTTTGGGCCAAATTGGTCACATCATTTGGTCATCCATGCCCCGCGGCGCGACGCTATGCGACGCTTCGCCCGTGCCTTCAGCATTTGCTTAAACTGCCCTTCGCAGGCATCGCTGAGCTTCTTCAGAAAGCGCTCCAACTCGCCCTGCTTGGCATCAGCATCGGCGTTTTTTCATCATCTGCAAATTAATGTAAATGTATACAGGATGGTGCCCCCCAGTATCCCCCCAGTTATGTTTGTTGGTTTATAAAACCCCATTGACTATACGTAGTATATATATATATACATATATCTACCATAAACCATAGAATTCAGCCAGTACGCTGGTCGGCTGCAGTCCAGCGCACCTTCGACAGTCTTGCAGCCACGGGCTGAACGACTGAGGATCGCCTGATGATGGTGTCGAAAAAGCTGCAACGCACCCATTCCGCCTTTATACTGGTTGGTTAATAGGGATTCCCAGCTCACGTATTATGATGATCCCTGATATCTCCTATCATCATCAACAGAGGTTTTGAACACTACTCAAGTGAAGAAAGTTGTGTCAGACCTCCCTACGATTTGATTGACTGGAAAGTGTGCACATGAGGAGTGCTCAGTCTACCGTACCTTCTGTCATTCCAAGCCCTCTGGTTGAGGGCAGCATTGCCAGTTCACGGATTAGCTTATAGTCTCCATGAACAACCAGTGACTCAACCCATCCCCCTAATATTAAACACCCGCAAACGAAACCATGGTTAGTAGGGAATTGCCACATTCCATTGGGACCATAGAAAGGGAGTGTTGAAATCATATTGGGGGGATGGGATTCATGTATAACCCTACTATCAACTCCCCAATCGTGCAGGTTGAATCATATCCCAATTTTTGTTTGCTGGTAAAAGCATCAGGATTTATGATCAAGACCCCATTGCAACCAGCAACCAACCGTCATTTAGGGGCCAAGCTCCTCACACTGAAAATTAATGACCCAATATTTGTGTTGCCTCATATACCAGAAACTAACCATCCACCAGGGAGCAGCAGATTTTCTGTTAGCCGTGGCACTCGAAGAAGCCAGGCATGGAGGTACCTGAGGCCGGGAGAAACACTCATGACACATAGAATCATAGGCTGGGTAGCCCCATCTAGCCCAGGTAGTGGATTACATCAGAATCCCCATGATTAAACCATAAACCACTCGGTATCTTCAGCATAATACTAATCATCAGGACAACTCAGGAGTAATAAAATATCCTGTCTAAACATCATCCCAGCATGGAGAAACATATCCAATAATCATATGAAGGTGATGTCCATAATCCCAAAAATACATCATCTACTGTACATTTGGCCACCCCGTTTAGGTTCCTCTCCTCATTTAGGTCAATTTTCTACCGCAACTCTGACCATCAACCCATCATCATTAGCTTGATAATCATCCCATTCAACGATTTAAGTTGCTGATTATCCAAAATTAGAATCTGATAGTCTCTGTATCAATTATCACATGTGATTTCATCAGTTGATAGATGTTAATTTTAATTTTCTTATCATTTTGGATTCCTCTTTAAAATTCATCGTGATGGATACCCTACGGTGTCCTCAAACATGGCTTGCTGGAAAATCCACTGTGATGATTTTCCCAGCGAACTAAACCTCCATGCCTTTTTTGGGGGGGGACTTTCCAGCGGATTCTTTGCCAGGGTTCCAGCGAAACCGGAGGATCTAAAATCCTCATTTTCCCTCATGGGTACCCTCTGGTAAACTAACATAGCTATGGAAAATCACCATTTTCAATGTGTAAATGGCCATTTTCAATAGCTATGTTAGTTTACCAGAGTGTAAATCCCATGTTTTCGATGGTAAATCCCCAGGGATTTCTGCCACCGCTCGGTATTTTCGTCTAGGGCTCCCGGCTAAAAACCTCCGACGCGTTGGGCACCGCAGACACCGCTGCTATTTTCGCCATACCGAGCTTCGCCATCACCTCCTGGCCCAGTGGGAGATAAAAAAGGTGGCCGTGGGGATGAAAAACGGGGATTTGTTTACCTTGTGTAAATGGTGTACCCTCTGGTAACTTAACATAGCTATGGAAAATGACCATAGAAATAGTTTATTTACCCATTAAAGATAGTTATTTTCTATAGTTATGTTAAATTACCAGAGAGTAAATAGGTTGTAACCAATATAAATGGTGTAAATAAATGGTGTAAACCAGTATACATCCATTATAAATTATAATGTCACCATTTGTGTGAAATAATGGGTGCACAATGGTGATTTTCCCAATAAAAATACAACTGCCTGGGTATATAAATGATATGGGATGATATGGGTAAATTACAATCATTCACTAACCTGAATTGCATTGATCTGGGTAAATTATATTACAAATGATATGGGTAAAAGATCATGATTCACTAACCTGAAATATTCAGGATATATTCAGATAGTTGCCCCCACAACATTCACCATCATTCCAATGAGGGAGAACAGTGAGTGCGTGAAAAACTTTACCAAGAATGGTGATTTTCCACTGCAAACTTGGTGGAAAAAAATGGTCCGTTCATAAATGAGCTTGTGATGATTTACCTATTAAACAATAGTGATTTGCCATAGCCATCATCATCTTCCATGGGGATGAAACGCTGAACATTCTCTGGTTTTAATGGCTACTTGGAGGATCACCACCCTTTTGATGAGGGGGGACGCTCAAAATGCAAGCTTGCAATAAGACGTTGTTTTGGGGGGGACGTATGAAAATGTATGCGTACATTTTTTTTTTTGATCGTCTTTATTGCAAGATTGCATTTTGATAGGTTCGTAGATTGCAATTATGTACCCCCATGTTTTACCGACTTGCAATTATTTTCCAGGGGGGGCGTCCAATATTGCAATTTGCATTTTACGGAAACAAATGTAAGAACATGGAAAAAAAATGCAAGAACAATAGTGTGGAGGTCTGCAAATAGCTGCAGAATTGCATAAAATCATAATTGCAATCTGTATCCCTAGAGGGCCTCAATTGCCTGTTATTTTCAATGAATTCTACACTTTTTCATCATTTACACATGTAATATAGATTTATAGAAGGTATATTATTCCTTGCAAATTATTGGAAAATCCTTGAAATTCAATAAATGTAAAAATAGATGTTGGAGGTCTTCAAATTGCCTCCTGCCAATGAGAAATTAATTCAGCTCTAAATGTAAAAACTTTAGGCTTCGGCTTCTAACGTTGGGGGGGTCCACGCTTGCAATTTGCGGGATCCCGCAATCAAATTCCGAGGGGGCAAAATTGCAATCTACATTTTTGGAACGCCCCCCTGCTTGCAATTAGCCTAAAGGGGTGGTGATCTTGGAGGTGCCATTTTCCCATTCTCAGACACACCCATATGAAGGTTAACCGGTTAACCAACCAAAAGAGGCAAAAACCTAAGGCCCTAAAGAAACTGGATCATCCACCAAAAATTTGATCATCAACTGTTTTGAAGCTGTTTATGATGAAAGGCTTTCGGAAACCAATGAAAACAACATTTGTCGGTCGTAAAAAAAATACGATCCACAAAGACCTGCGTGGAGGTCGTGAAAAATCAGTGACTTCGTTTGTGCAAGAGGATCAATACCCTTGTTTGAGTATGGGTCAAAGAGTCAAAAATGTTTTTTCAATGTCCTCACAAAATTGGTTGAGTATCAAACCATAACATGTGGGTTTCATTATTTTGACCTTTACCGCATTTGATGTTGCTTGAGTTCTCTTTTAAAAATCGACTGGCAAGTCTTGTGCCACATGGAAAATTTGCCTCGGGTACTCGTGGCCCCCAGGGAAATCCTTGTGATGCATCTGCAGCTTTTGGCGATGCTCCGAAACTACTTGCTCATTCATGTCGGCGCTATGCCGACTGATTTGCCTGCAATGTTTTGGTGGAAGCTCTGCTCGGTCAAGTCGGAGTGGGCACACCAAGAAATGGCATTATCTACTAAAAATGACGGGCATAAAAGTGAACACAACCATAAATCCATAACAATGGGATTTTTGTTGTAATGGTCCAATATAAAGCCGGAAGCCAACGAGGGAGTGCTAGCAGCTAATTCTGCCAGGTCCAAATTCTGCGAAAACACTGCAGGGGCCTTCTCCACGGTGCTGAAAGAAATCATGTCACATGAACAACTCCTTTTGGGAACAACGGAGTTCCAGACAGTTTGATACGTCACTTACTTCGCACCATTTCTCTTTTGGTTGCAAAAATGCCGGATGTTTTTTTCCCACAACCATTGGTCCTGGTGAGAGCCCATGCTTTTATGTGTGCGCGGTGTTTACATTAAAGAAAATGCCAGATTGCCCTTCCAAAAAAAACT